ATCTCCACAAATAAGTAATCATGGCCTGCCGATTCGCCTTCCTGTTGTCAGTTAAAAACCGCCGCTGGACGCCATCTCTTCCTTTCGCCTTCTTCACTACCGTTCGTCTGCAACTCCGCTGCTCACCTGACTCGTTCTTCTTCCTGTCCAGGTCAGTTCCTTCTCTCGCCGCCATGATTGTCTCGGATTTCGATTCGGCTACCCCATCGCCCAATTCTCGCCAAGCCGGCCAATCGGCCTCTGACCGTAACCCCGGCCACACTCCATCACCCCGGCCGTCACCGTCGGCCGTGCCTGGCCACAAACGGCGTCGATTGAGGAAGCAATACCCTTCCTCAACTCCGGTAGATGAGGGCTCAAGGGTTGAATTGGACGAAAACATCATGGCGTTGTGCCATTGTCAAATTACTGACCGGGGGTTCGCCGATGCCATTGACATGGTTGGACCCTCCATCGAGGTCATGAGACCTACCAGTACTCAAACTGCTCTAAACGCACCGTCGGGGTTCTTCACGGTCCATCTGGCGTCTTTGAAGAAGGGGCTGCGCTTCCCACTCCACCCGTTGTTGATCGAATTCCTCAACGTGGTGGACCTTCTCCCGTGCCAACTGGTCCCCAACTCTCACCGGTACATCGCCGGTTACCTGGTCCGGTGCAAAGATGTAGGGGTGAATTCGACCTTGGACCATTTCATATTCACCTTCAAACTGACCAAGGGCCATAAGGATTGGGCGTCCTATGCCAGTCTTTCCCAGAGGTCCAGTAAACTCTTTGCTAGTGATAAGAAGGGGTCAACCAAAGATTGGAAGCCTTTCTTTGTCTTCGTTTCGACAGGGCCCGAATCTCCTTTCACGGGTTCAGGGCGCCCTTCCTTCCGTCGCATCCCACGCCCCCCACCTGATGCCACACTTTTGTCTATCACTCGCCAATTCTGCAATAAGGGAGTTATGAACATCAAAGAGGTGGTGACAGAGGAAACCCTTGCCGGGTTGGGGTTTGAGTTTGTTCAGGATGAGCTTCGCCACCAACCCGACCTATTGAGGGACATCCCCGGGGGGCATCAGCCTGACCAGCTGAAGGACATTCCTGAGGAAGGTCTTGATTGTGGTCCTTTTGGTAGGTGACCCTTTCTTTTGCCCAGATGTTTAGTTTATCTTTTCCCAAGGCTGACCATTTCCTTTGTTTCCAGTGGAATTACAAGATTCAGGAGAAGAGATGGACATCGATCTCCTGCTCAGTCGCTTCACTGCAGGGAGGAAAAGGAAGAGAGAGACGAAGGGCCAAGGCAAACGTTCTTCATCCCACCACGAGGAGGGTCCTTCTCGAGAGCCGGTCGTAATTGCGGTGGAGGACCAAGAAGATGCTACCCAGGAACCGGGTACCATGGCTGGCCAGTCCCCTCCACACCCCGTGATGCAGGGTGGCGACCTCGCTGGGTCGTCTCAGGGCATTGCCTTGGAGCAACCTCCATCACCACCCGCAGTGACCTACGAGGTGGCGACCGGGGGTCGCTCGACGAGGCTCTGCATCCCTCCCCTGCCCCAAAGCCTAGGGGACGTACAGCTGGAGACTCTTATCACTCTGCCTGCAAAAGACTAGGCTCGTATCTCGGCAGGCTCCGAGGACGACCTTGACAACATGGTCCTTTTGAGGCTCAGTCAGGTACTGGTCTTGATCTCCTACGCATCACCCCTTTTCTTTAGGCCCCTAACCCCAAATGTGCATTTCTTGGGGTTAAGGCGAAGCTGGAACTTCTTCATGATCTTGAATACTCTCTCCAGGTCGCCAGCATGAGACTCCGTCCGTTTGGACTTGACAATCATGTCGTCCACATACGCTTCCATGCACCCCCCTAGTACTGGCGCGAACAGCTTGTTCACCATCCGTGCATAGGTCGCCCCAGCATTCTTCAAACCAAAAGGCATCACCTTGTAACAGTATACCCCATTGGGGGTGATGAAAGCGGTCTTTTCTTCGTCCGCCACTGCCATCTTGATCTGATGGTATCCACTGAATGCGTCCATGAAACTCATCAGCTCACATCCTGTCGTCTCATCAACCAACTGATCAATGTTGGGGAGAGGAAAAGGATCCATCGGGCAAGCTTTATTTAGATCAGTGTAATCGACGCACATCCGCCAGGTATTCCCTTTGGGTGCGAGGACTACATTTGCCAACCATTCCGGGTAGCGGACTTCCCGGATGTGCCCAATGGACTGCAGGGTGGTCACCTGCTTGGTGACAAACTCTCTCCGTTCTGCGGAAAGGAAACGCTTCTTCTGTTTGACCGGCTTGTGGGTCGGATCCACTGCCAATCTATGGCAGATGATTTTTGGGTCGACCCCTGGCATATCCTCTGGTCCCCAAGCGAATAGCACCTTGAATGCTCGGAGGACCTCCAATAACTGCTCCTTTAATTCAAGCGGTAAGGTTTTGCCTACCTTCACCTTCCGCTC